AATCGGCGCTCCCCCCCTCCAAACCCCTCAATGATATTGCGCCACCATTTGGCGCCCCATTTAACTTGGCGCCCTAGGAGACCGCTTAGTTCGCCTGTATGGACGAGCTGCCCCTGCTTATCCCCTCCCTTAATCATCTGTTTTCCAAGCTGAAAAGTCTCTCATATAAGACTACACTTGAAAGAGAATCCTCTGAACTGTCATTCATGCTTAAATTCGACACTTTATGCCTAAGTTTGAATAAAGACTCTAATTATCTTACCCATTACAAAGATAGCTTCCCCAATTATCACCTCTAATATCATTAGCTCACAGACATTTATCTCCCCCCTCCCCCAATTCCCCTTCTGTTCTGAAATGTGATTTGTCCTTTTCTTATGTGTTCATTTTTTTAATTGTATCCTTTGGTATATATGGTTGTGACAATTTCCTTCCACTATTTGATCTGAGGAAGTGGGTCTGGCCCACGAAAGCTCATCACCTAATAAACCATCTTGTTAGTCTTTAAAGTGCTACATAGTCCTGTCTTTTGTTTCAGCTACACCAGACTAACACAGCTACATTTCTATCATCATCAAATCTTTTGGCACGGTACCTTTTAATTTCTGTTTAACTTCCTCATTTTTGTGTAGTTCCCCTTTCGCAACTTACTGCCATCGTGTTGGACTGCCGAGGTGTTTTCCTGCCACAGGGATGTTAAGTTGAATTATTTTACGGTCACTACTACTGAGTAGTCCGGGGGTCAAATCCCGGATTGAGAATCACTTCTCCTCTGGTGGGTTCTAGGACTTGCTGCTCCAAGAAGCAGCCATTTCAAGTGTCCAGAAACTTTATCTTTGCTTCCCGTCACCCAGGTGATATGGGGCCATTGCAAACCCCCCCCGGCATCAAGTTTTTACTTGCCTCTCCTCCCTCGTCTCCCTAAGCGTTTCTCTGTTCCTCTCGGCATCCTGGCCAGGTGTTCGGTACTCGGGCCCTATCGCCGTATTCTTAGAGCACGGGCTGGCCGGCCATAGACATTCTGTGGAACACTTTAGTCCGTTTAAGATTTTACTGCCTTTGATTCGACACGTTTGTGCACCTATAGTGCCCCCTCCCCCACCACGATTTTCCTCGTCCCACCACGTTTCTGTGCTGCCCGGAGCCGTCCCGCTCTGCCTCGCGCACAAGCCGGAGCCGGCCGGAGCCGCCTCGGGGACCTCGGATGCGCCTGTTGGACTCTATATGGCGGTAGCCGTGTTACGGATGGGGCTGCTTTTCAGAGCAGCCGCGGCGCCCGCTGAAGTTAGGGCTCTCGCTGTCGCCCCCCCCCCAGACGCACTAGCTGAGGAGAAAGTGGACTGGAGCCCAGCCTGAGTCTGCAGTCCTGGCGGGCCCGGCTCCCTCAGGCGCAGGTGGAGACGGGGCGCGAGGGAAAGCTCTGAGCCAAGCAAGGACACAGGAAGGGGAGGAGGGGAGGGCGCGGAGGTGGGGCCGGATCGCTCCTGCTCTCTGCCAGCGTCCAGCCCGGGCCTGCACTGTTGTGGTGACTGTGACTTCCCTGGAGCAGAGCCCAGGCATTTACACCCATGCAGACCACGGCCTGGCCACCCGCGGGGCCCGGGGCTCTAGGGTGCATGGGGGCGGGGGCGCGTGGTGCCGTGGCTGTAACGCAGCCCCGGCTGGGCGTCCGCTGTGTCCTTGAAAGACCTCGCCGCTCATCCCCATTTCAAACGCAGCACGCGCGCCCCTGTGGAGCTGGGGGCAGATGGCAGAATTCGTTAGCCCTCTGTCTGGGCCAGATTGCGCCGGTCCCTTGGCGCTCTCTCGCCTCCGGCGATGGACACGTCAAGCGCTGTGAGTCCCGGCGGCGGGTTCCATCGTGTGAGGGGAGCCGGGAGACGCAGCGCGGTCTGTGGCTGAGTTTCAGCCTGCGGAGAGGGCAAATCCAGCGAGGCGAGTCGCAGCCCGGAGCCGTGAATGCGCCCTGCGGAGCGAAGGGGGGTGAGAGGCGGTTTGATAAAGGGCGGGCCCTTGACGCAGGCGTTGGAGCATCCGAATGTGGGCTGCTCATTGGACGGAAGAGGCTGCGTTTTAGTACAGGTGAGTTGCTAGAGGCAGCACGACCCAGTGGGCAGAGCACAAGGCGAGGGGGCGGGACGCCTGGGTTCTCCTAGCTTTGCCACTGACGACTTGTGTGACCTTTGGCAAGTCCCTTCCCCTCTGCACTGCACATCTGGGCTTTGCCTGTCAGTTCTTGGGGGCCGGGCTGTCGTGTCCGTCTGTGTGTGGCTGAGCGTCTCTCACCAATAGCAGGTAAGTATAACCTGCCCCCTTCTCTAGAACGCGGCAGCCGGCCTGGCCAGAGATGAATGGCATTTGGGCTGGGAGGGCGAATTGGTGGGCCAGAGGAGAAGGGGTGGGGCTGTTCCATCCGCTTTGCCTTTCCTGGGTCCTTCAACAGAGCCGGGGAGATTTTCAGGAAGAGCAGACAGAGGACACTGGCGTGTGTCCTGAGCCCTGGGCCTTCGTTGTCCTGCTCCCGAGAGTTGTCCAGGCCACACTGGGCCAGAGGGAGGGGCCAGATGTCACCCCTCGCCCTGTCCACACCTGGGTCTGCCTGTAGCAACAGCAACCCCTCTCCCGGAACTCCTCCCCTTTCCCCATCCTGGGGGACCCTTCTGACACTCTCCCCAGCTCAAGGGGTGGGAACAAGGGATGCTGTTGGAACCAAGCCTGGCTCAGGAAAGGCATTCTCTGGGATGGAAGGTCAAGGGTGCGTTCGCCATGGTGCTAAGCCGAGGTCTCCGGACCAAACCCGACTGTAGCGTGGTGGACGGTGCCTGGTGCTGGGAACCCCGTGAGCCCCTGTTCCATCGAACGCCCGGCAGGCTGCTCCCGCTGGGTTTCGAAGGGACCCTCTTTGCAGCAGGGTTTGGTCCTTTGTCAGGCGGGTGGTAGCTCGTGGCTCGGGGGGGCTGCTGGCCGGGGGGGTGGCGGCTGGGCCGTAGGGAACCCAACGGGCG